GAAGGCACATCCCCCTCTTATATAGGCTTGGAACTAAGTCTTATTATAAACAAAAAAGTTTGGGAGTTTTTGATTGCCACCTTCAAAATATTTTATTGTTATTCCTATTGAATTAAATATTAAGAAGACTGAAAAAACATTGTTTTCCAGTCCCCATTCCAAATCCTGAGCCATTCCAGTCCCTAGAGATAACCTGTGATTAAGCCAGCCTGCATACAACCTTTGTGTCACATTTGATTCTGAGCAACATTCTCTCTAAGTTGTGCTCAGTGTCTGCAATTAGCAAATGGCATGGCAGCAGTTCTGGAAGTTGCTGCTTCATAGGGACCTCAGAGGCCCTTGCAGCAACGAGGAAATTTAGAGGGAATGGTGATCCTGAGATAAGCTTTTGACCTCATTTGTACCATCTCTAAGATTCTGATTTCTACCTCTAACATCACTCAAATTTTCAAAGTTCATTTGCTGCTGGAAACGTCATCATGTCTTTGTTAGTTTGAAGGCTCTTGCCTTAAAACAACAGTTCTTGCATTGAACTGTGAAAGCTTTCCATGGTATGAATATTATGACATTTTCTTACAATGACCTACTTTTCTTTCATAGTGTCCTTAGACGTATGATCACTCTTATCTCAGAACTGGCAATTGCAATGGGAGAAAATCAAGCACTTCAGGTTCAAACTGATAATACTAATAATGCTGCCAAGAGGTACATGGAGGAAAATGAAGAACTGAAAAAGGTAATGTTTTCAGATCTGTTGTAATGTCTTTATTTTATTATGACCTATTACTTGAAAGCCATTCAGAATGCAATTTGTACATGGTATCTTTAGACATGTAGTAACATTGCAGTTGAGCACTGCAAACACACAGTGTGAGTTCCAGCCTAGCAATAATTGAACCAGTTTTGCAAGTTCTTAGTTTGGAATGTTGAATGCCTGAATTAACGTTTAGCATTTGGTCTATTGAGCAAGGAGAAGTACCCCACAGAAATAGATCTATACCTTTGATAGTGGCTCTGGACACATGTTACTGACGGAACCATTCTGGTCTTTGCAACTGAATGAACAAGAATGACATTAGTAGAATCTGAAATTATTATAATTGACCTTCAACAAAAACAAATAACTTGCACATTGACAAGCTTTGAAGGTGTAAATTTCCTATAATGGAAGAATTATGTTCAAAACTCTCAGTGTTATGTATGAATTACCAATCTGTGAAGCCAGTTTGGATATTTGTGACACAAGATAATTTCAGTGAAAACAACTATCTTTTCTTTGCCCCTACCTATTCTATCCTGAATTTCTCCTCACCTCTCCCACTTACACGTGATAGACTGGCTTCTGCTTTGACGTTAAAACACACTAATCCATTTAATAACAAGAAGATCCCTTGCACCATCTGGTTAGCTGCAGAAATGTACAATAAAGACAGAATCCATATTAATTTAAAAGTTAAACATTACAAGCCTTCAGGCAGGCCCTTGTGGAAGTATGCTAGATAAACTGCAAACACTTGGCTCCTATCTCAATCCCAGGACATCATGGCAGGAGTTCCTGAGTGGTGTCCTCGACCCAACCATGTTCAGCTCCTTCATCAATGCCCTTCCGTCCATCATAAGGTCAGAAGCGTGGATCATCACTGATGATTTCTCAACATTCAGCACATTTTGCAAATCCTCAGGTGCACAGCAGTAACTCACTGAGGCTACTTCAACAGCACCTTCTAAACTTGGTCCACACAAACAATAAGTTCAAGACTCGAGAGGCATCCATGATCAAAGCACTGGCGCATGATCAACCACATGCTGATTTGATCCTGAGACCTAAACAATGTCCTCATTACCAAAATGATGACCAGTGCAGATGACTGCTGGACAGACCACTTGCTCATCCACTCCTCAATATCCATCAAATTCCGCCAGAAAGAGCTGAAGACGGCTGTAAATGCATTTTCATTGAATATCTATGTATTCTTTGTTTGTGAGAATAACCTAAGTAAGAATCTTATATTTGTTTTAACTATGATGTGGAGGTGCCGGTGTTGGACTGGGGTGGACAAGGTCAGAAATCACATGACACCAGGTTATAGTCCAAAAGGTTTATTTGACAGCACAAGCTTTTGGAGCCTTGGTCCTAGAAGACATACAATTCTTACTTAGGTTATTCTCACAAACAATACATAGATATTCAATGAAAATGCATTTACAGCTGTCTTCAGCTCTTTCTAGTGGCATTTGATGGATATTGAGGAGTGGATGAGCTAGTGGTCTGTCTGAGGCTCTGAAAGCTTGTGTGTACAAATAAACCTGTTGGACTCTAACCTGGTGTTGTGTGATTTCTGACCTTGTTTTAACTATGGCTGTCCAAGTTGTCGTTTTTATTTTTAGTGTTTGAGTGTGTAGTTTTGTGTAACACAATAAATAGCATAGATTGATTCAGAACTTGCAAGGGATTTTGCTAGATTAAGTGAGTGGAGTGAAGGGATGGAGTTCGGTGTGATAATTGTGAATTCATTCACTTTGGATCCAAGAAAGTCAGAACATTTTGCAAATGCAAGAGCTATAAATAGTGTAATTTAGAGGCCAATTTACAGAAATGATCAAAAAGCAAGTGGACAGGTATTAAAAATATTTTGAAAGATTAATCAGAAGATTGACTATTCCAGACAGTTTCAGATAATACAATGGTGTAAAAGTTATGCTGTATCTCTAACATCTTCCAGTTAGACCCCACCTGGAGTTTTCTGTTCTAGACTTTGCACTTCAAAGAGGATACAGGAAGTCCTTACTGCATGTTCCTGAAAATCGCAACTTAAGTGAAACAGATTCCATAGGATTCAACATTAAAACTGGAGTTAGACTCCATTGGGACTTGCTTATTATACAAAAATCCCTGGAATTTGAAATAATCCACAAGGGTAAATTCTTACTTTTTTGTAAATGAAATAATTTTTAAAATAAAATATAAAAGGAAGATGTAACTTACATTGTATATTATTTTCTGCTCACTGCCAATCATGCTTCATGATTGCCTGAAGATCTTACCCCTCCCTGACCATCTGAGAGTGGAGGCTGAGGTCTGCACCAGGTGGCCTGTACTCACCAGGCTGCAGACTGCCCACCTGAGCTGTCACCCGCTTCTGGTCATGACGCAGACACTGCCAGTGGTGGTGGTTTGGGGTGGCGGGGAGGGTGGGGTGTTGGTCGCAGTTGATGGCCTAGTGGTATTATTGCTATTAATCCAGACACCCAGGTAGTGTTCTGGGGAACTGTGTTTGAATCCCATCATGGCAGATGATGGAATTTGCATTCCAGATTTTTACTGAATTTAAAAATGATCATGAAACCATTATTGATCGTCAGGAAAGGCCTTCTGGTTCACTAATGTCCTTTAGGGGCCTGGTCTGGCCCACACGTGAATCCAGATATCCAGCAATATGGTTGCTTCTCAACTGCCCTCTGGGCAATTAGAGCTGTGCAATGAATCTTACCCAGACGATGATGCCCACACCATGTGAATGAATAAGAAAAAAACACAGCATCCCCTGCAGGATTCATCCAAACACACTGGTCCCTGTCCTCTCAACACAAGATGCTGGCTACAACGAAGCTCAGTAGCACTTGGACTGAAAAGCTCACTGTGACTGAAGTCAGGAGCTTGTGGAATGAATCCTGGTCAGGCTGTTTTCTACAGGCTCAAGTTGTCTATATTCCTCTTGAATGATCTCATCACCCATTTAATGATGTTCCCCTTCAAGGGCTGAACAGCCACAGCCTTCATCCTTCAGCAGCTCCTTCGTGTTGCTCCACAGACTCGGAGCCCTGATCTACTGCAGGAGCCCCATAGTTCCCACCACCACCTCGGTGAGAGAAGTTGAGGCGAGGAAAACTCACCAATCTCAGTCTTGACTCAACAAACTGCCAACTGGGTTGGAAGGGAGGACAGCCAAAGCCTGAAACCAGCTAGGAGGAACAACTCCATTACATCCAAGTAGACCCTGGAGGTGGCACTGCCTGCAAGAAGGGGCACCACAGACTCTCAAAAAGATGCCACCAGGGATTGTCCATAATCTGATCCAGAGTCCAATGAGCGAAGCTTCCCCAGTGCAGACCTTGGGCAGCAGTGCAACAGGGGAAATGGCATCAAGTGTTGACAGACCACGCCAAAATTCTGCCAATCAGGTCATGACATTAAAACAAACCACACAATGTTCAACAAGATTACAGGCTCTAAAAACTTCCCAATATTAAAGAAAAAGAAAGCTAAACAGCACAATGTTAGTGAAGATCACCTGTATTTGAGTTAGTATGGTGCATATGCACCAGAAAAATTGTGGGAATTAAAGGATTATAACATGAAGACAAATTGTGAAGGCTCGACCTGTATTCACCTGAAAGTAGAAAATTAAGTGGTGATTTAGATGGCCAAAATATTTAAGAGCGTAGACTGGAATCTATTTCCTCTCGTAAGATAATCCAGAATAAAGGTGCACACCTTCATAATTAGAGCACAATGGTTTAGGAAGTGTATCTTCACAAAAAGAATTGTGCAAATCAGGAACTCTCTCAAAAAGCTGTCAATTGTAAATATCAAAACTGAGACTGATAACTTCGTTACACAAGGATATATTTTCTAATCATCCTGTTCCAAAATGTTATCACACACCTCTGGAGCATGTGGGATTTCAACCTGAACCTCAGAGGTAAGGATACTGCCACTGTGCCACAAGACCCCTCCCTTAATAGCTACAGTGCAGTGTGAGTAATAACGTTCAGCTATATTTCTTCCTACTTATTAATTTGTTTTACTCTTCTGAAAGTACTAAATAGACTTCAGATCCTCAGCTGCCTGCAGCATCCTGTACGTTGTGTGCAAATCAGTGAGTGTATGCAGGACTCTTGGAGAGTTACCACAGTTGAAAACCTAGTCACATCCTTATTCAAAGCATACACTGTCCAGCAAGTATAGGTAATTCTGGATTCCAGGGGCACTGAGTCAAAATTCTAGTATCCCTATCCTTGCTCAAATCTGACAATGTCACAGGCTTAGAAACAAGTGTGGCTTTTTTGATTCAGTTACGCCAGTTGAAGTATTTACATGCTAACCCATTGCAAGAGTTTGCACTTGAACTCCAAAATAATCAGCTATTAGATTTTGACATGCTCTAGTTCCTGTCTTGTCCTAACTTTATAGATGGTTCCGGCTGCCAGGTTGATCCAGAGAACTAGATCGAAAGGCAAAAAGAAACTGTATCACCATTAGATCTATAATTATTTTCCTGCGTGATAAGCAAGATATATAACGCAAACTGTTTTTCACTACACTTCACATCCCATTAAAGCTTTTATACTTGATTTGTTTTTATCAATAGGCTTTAAATAGAGGTAAAGATGATGGAAATAAGAAACTGGAAGAGGAAAATAATCAGCTGATTAAAGAAATCAAGGAACTAAAGGTTGAATTAAAGAAAACCACAGAAGGTAGGACTATTCTATTTTGAGATTTTAAAATCAATTTTCCATTTACTTTTGTAATTTTCATTTACAATACCTTTAACATGGTCAGGTGTCACATGGCACTTTACAGGAGTACAGTCAAGGAAAATTTGACACCAAGCACATAAGGCGCCATTAGAACAGGTGAACAAAAGCTTAGTCAGTGGTAGGTTTAAAGCAACACTGTAGAAGGCAAGAGACGTAGAGAAATGGAGAGGTGTAGGGAGGGAACTCTAAAGTTTAAGACCTTGGCTGCCAATGCTAAATTTCAAAATGCCCACCCAAGAGGCCAATATTAGTAAAATACAGCAATAAGAGAGTTACAGAGCTGGGAGGATCAAGATCATAACTTGAAAGCAACAATGACAATTTTAAAATCGAGGCATTGCTTAACCTTGAGGTCAGCAAGCACAAAGATGATGGGTGATCGGGACTTGGTGTAAGGTAGGTTATGAGCAACAGAGTTTTGGAATAACTTAAATTTATGAAGTGTACATAGGAGTCCAGCCAAGTGGACATTGAAATAATCAACAAACAAAGACACAGTGAAGGTTTCAGATGAGCTCAGGCATGAATAGTGTCAGACAACATAAATAAGTGACCTTACGGATGGATATTGTTCAGTGCCCAACTGATGTTCAGATGTGACACCAAGATTACAATTGGTCTGATTTAGCCTTAGGTGGTTGTCAAGGAGAGGGATCGAGTTTGTGAAGGGGCCAAAGACAATGGCTTCAGTCTTACAATGGTTAGTTGAAGGAAGTTTTTGATATAGTTGTGAATGCCTAACAAGCAGTCTAAAAATTTGGAGAAAGTTGAGAGGTCAAGAGGGGCAGTTATACCTGTTGATAAATATCAGCGTGCATATCCAATCTGGAAATGCAATTCCACAATGAAGATGCTGGGACCAAGGATAAATGCTTAGAGAACACTTAAAGTAACTGTGGGTTTGGGAAGACAAGCCACTGCAGATAATCCTTTGACTTCTGCAGGGTACATATGAATTCAACCTGACAAGGTCAGTGCCAGATAGCTTAATGTTAAAAGAGAAGTATTGGAGGAAGATTATGCAACCAAATATACCAAAAGCTTCAGAGAACTCGAAGGTTATGAGAGAGAGTTAACTTTTTCACAATCACACATTGAGTATAGGAGGGAACCCAATTAGCAGATCTAGGGGAGGGGACAGTTTGAAATTTGAGCTGCTCTGTCTACTTATTGTGAATAAAAATAAAAGGGAAATACAAGTTCAGGCACAGTTCCTATGAAGGCTGCTATTCAGTGGAAGAAGGAAGCAGTTTTATGATGGAAGCTGACTTACAGTTAGATAGCTGGTGAGAATCCATTGAAGAAGACAGCCCAGTAAACATGATTTTACAACCTGCTACATACGTCAGTGTATTTTGTTTTTATTTAAAAGTAGAACTAAAGTAAAGTTGTGTTACTAAAACAAAGGACATGCTGCTAAAGCTTTTCATCTTGCACTCATCAGGACAAATGCAAGAAAGCCAAATTTCAAAAGGAGCAATAATGTATACTGCATGAGAAAAGAGTTCTAATTAGTTGTCAAATTGCATGATTGATTGAGGTGTTACCATTGAGAATGCACGAAAGAACTATTGCCTTCCATGTTTTTCTCTAATTCAGAAAAGTTCTACTGTCTGGACATACTCTTCCTGCTTGCATATGACAAGGTCCTGAGTATGAATATATATAAAGCAAGCATAAGTGATTGCATATTGCAAGCCTGAAAGGTGATCTTAAATTGGATGTTCGTGTAATTTTTAGTACACTCATGATGGTTCAGCCAGTGCCATACCATCATGGAATCATGTCTGACTTTAAATGTTAAGTTTGAGCTTTGCAAGCACAAACTGGTTAAGGACAGTTCGTATTCTGCCTATTGTGATTAGCTATGTGGATCTGCTGTTTGACATGACCCACCAGTCTTTGGGAAGTATGGTCAACTTACCTGATATCACACCAGCACAAAATTTGTTTACCATGTGTGGTACACAGAAAGTCATTTTGGCTTGACAATGACATCTTACAAGTAGAGAAAAGCACTTGTGCTGCTATTGCAAAGTAAGGGTAATTTCAGGCAGACTGGGATTTGTTTCAAGATAGAAAGTTGGCAGTGTTTGGTCCACTTGTGAGTTTGTTCACTAAGTCAAACTATGACCTGACTGGATGTAGTTTGTGCAGCAACTATTTTGTATTTTTATTTCTGCCTCTGACACAAATCAGTTTAACAACTTGTATTTGGTCTGTATCAGTTTAAGTGTTGATCAGCTAACCTTTAAGAAAATTGGAAGATTATGATATCCAGTTCACATAATAAATGAAAACTTATAATAAGTCCTTCCTGTTGGTTACGCACTTGTACGTCTAGATATTGGATAGTGACAGTGAAAGCAGATTCCTGTTTGTGAGGAATGCCGCAGGAGACATGCAATTCTAATGAAAAGGAATAACTAAGAGAGGACAATGGAATTTGTAAGATTATAAGTGAAATAAATATAATTACCATTTTGTTTCTCCAAGATTCACTTAACCCAAGGGTCTTTCTGGGAACTCAGTTTTTCTTTGATCAATCTTGCTGCTCCAGGAACACTGAAACCAATTACAGAACCCTACTGCTGCTCCAGGCTGAGTCCACTTAATTCGGCAAAGTCTGAAGATCAAACCTGCAGTCTTCCTGGCTGGTATTGCTCAGCTTGAATAAGCTCATTGAACCCTAAAAGGACCCCTTGGAACAAGTATTTTGTCACACTTTCACATGCTTTAATGGCTGGCCAAATGTCTGGCTGCCAATTCCTTGAAAAATTGAAATAGATGTGTTATTCTAACTTAGACCATCTTTGGCCAAGAGCAGTAAGTTAAAATTTTGAATTGAACTGTCTGAGCAAAGTTTCAAATCTTGATCTTTGTATTAGAGTAGGAAAGTTATAAATGAAATCTGCAATTATAATAGAAATAAAATTGCAAAATATAATAGTTAAGAATGCCAATTGTGTGGAATAAAAGAACTGGTTTATATTTTTTAAAAAAGGGATTTAGGGAAAGCTTTGCATTGACCACAGGCATCTATTTAGGGATCAACAATTCAAGTAATAAGTAGTTCCTACCTGTTTGGAGGTGTAGGGAAAAGTTGTGAGCTACATATGATCTTGTTTGTGTTGCATAGAGAGAATGATTTTCTTGAGATAACAATTTATCCTTCAGAAGGTCAAATATTATCAGTTATTATGATCTTGTTAATAACCAGTAAGTCCCTAGTTAACATATACAAGTTTACCATTTTTGCTGTCAGTATTTTCAGCATTGAATTATAAAGCTTTGTTGAAAGATGTTGCATAACATTGATTTAGGAAGCATTTAAGGGTCATGTAATAAAAGACTTGATTGACAAAAGGTGACCAGGAAACTTGCATAATTTGCAATGTCTTTACAACGCCAGTTCAAAAATGTGAAAATATTCCAGTGTTACAAAAAGATTTGACATCCAAAAATTGGACAGCTTTTCAATCACCTGTATAGCTTTGACAAATGTATCTTCTTTCCCTGCTATATCTGCTGAATTTTCTAATCTGGTAATTTACCTGCATTTTTGCTGTAGATATTTTCCTATGACAGTAGCAAAGAATAAGAGAGAACTCTCTAAGTTTTCCTTGCGTGGGAACAGAGGATGTGTCAGGATTAGGCCATTTAGCCCTTCAAGCCTGCTCCGTGCCATTCAGTAAGATCAAGGCTGATCTGACTGGAGTCTCAACCTCATTGTCTGTCTGCCTGCCTGCCTCTTCTCCCCCACTGTAGTCCTTGATTCCCTTGCCTATTGAAAGTCTAATTGTGCCTCAAAAAATTTCAATGACACAATTTCCTCAGGTTTCTGGGAAGGAGAATTCCACAATCTTAAAAAAAACTCTGTTCTAAGCTGTGCATATTACTGGCTAGGCCAGCATTTATTGGCCATTTGTAATTGCCCTTGATAAGGTGATGGTAAACTGCCATCTTGAATTGTTGCAGCCCATGTTGTGCAGGTATACTCTCAGTGCTTTCTCAGATAATTAATTCTATATTTATTTGCAATCTTATGTACTTTTATGTTATGCGTTTTGTATTTGACTTTTTAACTGTTTAACTTTATTACTTTAGTTTTCTACTTTATACTAAGAAGCCTGGAATATTTAACTGTAATATTTAACTCATGAATGCCTAGTCTTGAGTTGCTAGACCTGTTCAAAGTTTGTTCCATTTAACATGGTGATAGTGCCGCACAACACAATGGAGGTTTTATTTTAAAATTCGTTCACTAAATATTGGCATCATTTGGTCAGTAGTGGTGCTGTTGAGACACCTTGGTGGTGTACCTTTAAGTGCCCCATCCAGAGTACATTCTGTGCCCTTGCCACCATCAGTGCTTCCACCCAAGTGCTGTTCAACATAGAGAAGTACTGACATCAGCCAGGGCAAGGAGATTGCAGAAATGGCAGTGTGTGATCTGAGACTTATAGTCAATGTTTAGGACTCGTAGGGCAATTCCCTCCAGACTGTATACCAATGTGCTGGACATACCCAGGGATGATGATGGCATTGTCTGGAATATTGTGCATAAGGTATGATTCCATGAGATTTTTTTCTGTATCAGGATGTTGCTTGACTAGTCTGTAGGACAGCTCTCCTAAATATGGCACTAGCTCCCAGATGTTAATAAGGAGGGCTTAGAAGGGTTAACAGAGTCTGTTTGCTGTTGTTGTTCTGGTGCCTTAGTCAATATCAGATAGTCTGTCCCATCTCATTTCTTTTTGTTAACCTTTTAAGCAGTTGATCCAACCAAATGACTTGCTCAGCCGCATTGTTGTAGGTCTGGAGTCACATGTAGGCCACAGCAGAGAAGCATGGCAGTTTCTTTTCATAAAAGACATTAGTGAACCAGATGAGATTTTACAGCAATCAAGAATGGTTTAATGGTCAATAGACTTTAAATTCCAGGTTTTATTGAATTCATACTTCACCATCTGGCATTGTGGGATCCAAACTCAGGTTTCCAGAACATTACCTAGTTCACTGGTTTACTAGTCCAGCAACAATACCTCTAGGTCATCACCTCTTGTGATCAACTAATCAGTGGTGTTTTGCTAAAAAAAAAAGCCATCAGAACCAAATAACTATGTAGTACTCTAAAAGAAGGCAGTCAAGTCCAGTAAACATTCAAGATGGTTCTTCTGAAGTGAGTTATCAGAATGGTATGACCAAGACATTGAATCTATTTGCAGAAATAACTTAAAAGGTATAAGCATCAAGTTCATTTTTTATCTAAATATTTCAACCCAACTTTTTTTCCATAGAATAGTGGCAGAGAAGAAGCTGGTGTTGCACAATCTTTGACAATTTATGCAACATATTGGAAGTTTCCTAAGTAGAATTAAATAACTGCAGTTTGTGTATATTTCAGTCAAAAATCGGGTAACATCTTTCATTCTGTACGTTAATTGCTAACTTTTTCTTCTTATTTCTTTTTGTGGCAAAGCCCTTGAGAAATCAAAGATTGAAATGGCTTCAATCAAAAAACAATATGATGGACTGACTAGGGAATATGACCGACTTCTGCAGGAGCATGACAAGATGCAGGTAAAAAGAAACTTGTTCTCCTACTTACTACAGTAGTACAGTGAAGTATTCGAGATAGCCTAACTTCCAGACCAAAACTACTTTATTAACTTTTATTACTACTAATTAGCTTCTCACTTTTTATTTTTGAATTGTCTCTCTTTACAATCTTTTTCTCTCCCTACTGACAGTAGTGGTGCCACTACTTGGCACCCTTTGAATTGAGCACCAGTTCCTCGACTAGGTACTCTGGCATCAAGCAGAAAGGAATACGGCTAACAGCAGAGAAGTATCTTTATAGTGACAGCTGTCAATGAACTCTAGTCATTAATTAGGTTCATATTTTGATAACAGTAGTAAAGCATTAGAACAGAAGAAAAGCACCAGCTTCTGCTGTGGGCCTATTCCATCATTGCTTCTCTCTGACAGCATAAATAACTTGTAACTTATTTGAGCCCAGAACACAGTTACCACATTGAAATCAAAGCAGGAAGTCAGGAACAAACAGCACGCCACAAAATAGAGACATGGGAAACAAAATTAGCAGTTTTCATTACCATTTAAAGCTTATGCCATAGTGAGAGACTTACATTTGTTTTAGAGATACTTTTTTGTTTCCTTTTTATATTTTCTGAAGAAGTGGTGGTGTGGTCCTTTTAGAAGTGCCCTGTCTCAATTTAAATGGTCAACACCTTCAAAATGCATTTACTTACGTTTGTTCAAAGGCTTATGCCCATGTTTCCACTTAAACCAATTAACTCTGCTTTCTGGTGTAGATCCAGTATGGTCAGCCATCAATCAAGTTATGTTGCTGCACACTTCAGCTAAAAACACCTAATATGTGACCTTTGATTAGCCTTTCTGATCTTCTCACCTGTTCTCTCTGACCAGAATGCTCTTTGACATTGTCAATGGCTTTCCCCTCTTCAGCCACCATCCTTCCCACCCTGAACAAATCTGTCCTCTGTAACTAGTTTCCATCTCCATTTTTACTTTTCTCTTCAAAGATCTCAAACAGACCATTACTTTCCAGCTCCAAAGCCATCTGTCTGAAGACTCCTTATTCAAAGTTGCAAATTCAGTTCAGCTTTTGCGTAACATTGAGTTAGCCCTGTCTAGAACTATGGATTATATTATTTATTTATATTTTCTGTCATCCTCTTTGATCTTACTATGAAATTCTGATACGTGCCATACTCATTACGTTATTCCAATTTTCAGAAACTGCCCATTTTAACCCCTGCTGTAACCCCAGTGCAGCTGAAAAGTTTATCTGTGCTCCTCTGACTTCTAGTTTTCCAATGTCCTTGCTAACAGCCCATCACAGTCTCCAAAGATTACAGCTTATCCAAACTGTGGTCCAGGGTATCCTATCCTGCAAGAAATCCTGCTCTCAGATCACTTTTGATCACCAACAACCTACGTGAATTATTTCCAGTAAAATACTCTAGTTATACGTATATGTGAAGGTTTAGGATTTAATTTCATCTCATGATTGAGATTTTTGTTTTAAATCACTTGTAGATTTGTGTTGTAACCAGGAGAAATAGCAAAATATTCAAAGTTGTTTGCTCCCTTGATGTTTTAGGTTTTAATGTGTCACAATACAATTTAACAGACTGTTGTTTAGCTTCTGAAAATATGTGATGTATGATTCCTGACTGATGACTTGTTTTTTGGGGCCACATTGCAAAATGAAATAGCCATGACAATGAGATAAGAAGTGGGACAGTAGAACTACATTTAGCTATGTCCTAAACAGTAAATAAGCATTTGGTGTTTTCAAGGAAGAATCTCATTTCTGGGTATCATGTTCATAATAATATTTTCCATGCTGCAATTATTCAACAGTGACGCTGTTCATAAAAGATGACTTATAAAGATCTTGAACTCTCCTTAACAATTTATAGAGTCAGATTTGAAAAGCATTGACAAATATAGGTAGAACATAATTAGTCTGTGATACTCTTACAACTCAAGCAGAAACAGATTACCTTCCAGCCAGAAGAAAACAGTGGTAACTGTTTATTTATCAGTTATTTAAAAGGTTGCCAGTGTTTGGACTTGGCAAAATGCCGTAAAAGGATTATCTTGCAACCACATTTGGTTTGTCTTAAATTTTCTCATCTTCCATGCCCATAACAGCTTCATCCAACTGAATGAGGTCCTCCAGTTTAGTACCCTCTTCTAAACCTTTCAGTAATTCGATGAACATATAATGTATCCCCTCCTATACCCCCAAAACCTTGGCAGCCTTCAACTGTGTTTTCTGCTTTTTCTGGAACTTCGTTCCCATCCTCCATTTAGTCTGAGTCAACAGATTATCTGGCTCTTGTATGTGGAAATTGCTGCTATTTGATATGTTCCCAGACCCCTGCAAATAATTAATTGCTGTAAGTTATGTGATGGTGTTCTGGAATAGGTGATTGCTAGTTCCTTACTCTTGGTAGGTCAGAGCCTGATGCTTTCCCACATGTCCATGGTTGACAGTACTGACATAGGTGATCACTTGACAAGGAGAAAAGAGGCAGAGTGTGAATACACGGGCCAGCCATTCCTGACAGTAATGTTGCTTAATTCCCAGCAACAATACAACATTATAAACTTTCTAAAACAATTAGCTGCCTGATTGCTGTAATATAATTAATGCTAAAATTTATAGAAAAGGTTTATACAAATTTATTGTCGTTAACTGAATAATTACTAACATTTATTACTTGTACCCCTTTCAGAGTCTTGTTGACACCACTGATAAGAAGAGCAACTAAACTGCAAAAAGTATTCCCTTGTGCCTTTGGATATCATCTGTAACAACAGAATATTTGTATTTGTTTGTTTCCTTAACAGCATAATGAAGCTAAAAGTGAAGTGAGTCAGTATTTATAAAAAAAGTAAATTGATGGTTATTTTCAGTTTGTTGTGCATCATTCCACTAATACATCAAAAATGGGAATATGGACGACACAGTAATTGGAATATGGCTCATTCACATCTGATATCTGCTGGAAATGCAATGAACCTGCATATGTGTGCATTTACATACCTGACCTTGAAGTAACATTTTCATACAGCTGTTTTCCCAAGTTGAGTTTCTTTACCACATATTTGAGATGCCATCCCTTTTCAAATTCTAATTACCCAAATCCAATGCCATATATAGGACCCAGTCAAATTCTTCATGCAAGAGGTTTTGACCAAAGAGGTATGTGTGCCATTATCCTGATTTCCTCCACTTTGTTTGGACCTACATTTGTACACCACAAGCTTTGTGACTTTGTTATCATTAAAGAAAGAGGAGGACACCTTTTGTCCCCTTTTTACAATGTTTCTGTAGAACTGTAACAATGTTAACATCCATCAGAGCCCAGAGGTACCACTATAAATCATTGGTTGGGATAGATGGCTCTTCTGTTTTCCAGACAATACCTTGTGAATATTCACAAAGCAGTACAAAATCATAATACTATACTTGGCACATTTACTACATGTCTTAATTTGTTTATGTTGTATCTCGTATGTTTAAGAATGTCACTATCTAAAAGCAATAGATAGCAACAAGGCAATCTTTTCATGTGCGTTGCTGAACTTTTTTTATTCGTTCCATTCTCTCCAGAATAGAAAGGAGACCCTTGAGTAATGACGATATTTACAGATAAATTACTTATATCTGTTGTTGCAATTTGTTTTGCACATATGGTACCCAAAAACCCTCGGCATGCAAGAAGATGTGTCTAACATGAGCAACTTAAAATTAATCTTTCTTGGGCTGAGTGATTGTTTAATGTTAGTCAGGGGACATGGTTCTTTAACGGTAAGTGTGTTAAAGCAGCTTCTTGTGCTGGGCTTTGTCCTGAAATTTTTGGCAGATAATCCAGAAATGGATATGGGAAAACAAATATCACTGTACTGTGAAAATTTAGTTTGGAGTTCGATCTCTTGAACTGAAAAGTTAGTAATTATAATAATGTGAACACATAGTTAATTTCCCTGTTGGAATCAATGTGTTGAACTCTTAAAAAAAATCTTTGCAAATCCCATCAATTAATGTTACTTTCACCCAGAATTGTTCTGAAAAGTTCAAAATATCTTGACAGAATTTTGTTTACAAAGTTCAGGTTGGGGCTTCCCACTGGGTGTAAATATAAATTAAGTCAATGCACTGAAAAGTTCTTCGCCATCACATACTTATTGTCTCCTGCCATCATAGACTGTAACAGGTCAAACAAAAAACAGATTTGATGCTTTTGTTTGAAATATAAAATCAATAAAACTATAAATTATTTTCATGATCACTGTGGTGTATATACAAATTGCCAGTAAATGTCTGCATGTCAATTTGTTTTTTTTTACAATCTGCGTTATTTTTGGTTAAGCATCTTATGTTCATAATATAAAAACCTAAAATCCGTTCTAATGGTGTTTTATTGCAGGTGAGTGCTCTCGGGATTGCTAGTCTTGCTATATTTTTATGTGTCACTCAGAATCATTTCACTGGTATGGAATAATGCTTATATCAATCAGTATTGGAACTTGGAAATAATGGAAGTTACAACTATGGTTTTCTACTTCCCCATATTCAAAGTAGGGAGAAAATTTGAACAAACTGGAAAAAGAAGAAAAATGTTTTGAGAAATAAGCAGTGATAAATAAGATTGATTAATTAGACAAAAACAGCATCATCTGTTAAACCTTTCCCTGTTTCGTTGGTTGATAAAACACTGACTTCTATTTGGGTTCTCTTATTGAACGTAATGTTTGCTTCCACCACAGCTGTTCTTTTCCTTCATATTGCCTCCCCTCGCAGGTTCTGTATCAGCCTGTGGCTGTGATGGTGACTGAGGCAGTCTGCTTTGCAATCACTGGCAACCATAAGGATACACCTGGCTTTTTTAAATGGTGTAGTACAAAATGAGCAGGACAAAGCCAAATAACAGTCATCTGTCAGGAGAAGCAACTGAGAAAGTTGGACACTTATGTAACTATGATCATGGTGCTTTATATAGTCCTACTGGGCTTCTGTAACATCTGTGCAGTTAATCATATCCTCCAGAGCCTCATCTTAAGGACTACCCTTGTATGGTGCCAATAACACCCATCATAATTATCTTTGCCACTTAGATCTAAGTAATTCATTAATTCCTCCATAACACTTCTCTCTGGAAGTATCTTAAACATACCGGTCTCTCCCTAGATGCTCTGGTTCTTAGAATCTGGATTTCCATTAATTCCTACTTTTTATCCAACTAGCTTTTCAACTAATTTCGTGATCTCTGTCTCTCCCTCCCACCGGTTCCCCAAGCATAATCTGCGGAGTGTCTTTGGACCTTATGTATGCTAAAGCACCAGTATTATGTTTCTGCTCATTCAAATTTTCCAATCCTTGACGTTGGCTGATATAATTAAAGATTCCAAAGTTATTCCAAGCTAATTGAAAATTACAGAATACTGAGATGCCGACAAGACATAGGAGCAGAAATTAGGCCATTTGGCCCATCAAGTCTGCTCTGCCATTCAATCATGGCTGATAAGTTCCTCAACCCAATTCTCCTGCTTTCTCCCCATAACTCTTGATAATATGCCTGGATAGAGTGGATGTGGTGAAGATGTTTCCACTAATAGGAGAGACTAGGACCCAAGGGCACAGCATCAGAGTGAAGGAATAACCCTTTAGAACTAAGATGAGAAGGGATTTCTTCAGCCAGAGGGTGCCAAATCTGTGGAACTCATTACCACAGAAGACTGTGGAAGTCAAGTCATTGTGTGTATTTAAGACAGATAGATAGGTTCTATATTAGTAGGATCAAAGGTTACAGGGACAAGGCATGAGAATGGGGTTGAGAAACATATCAGTCCTGATCGAATGGTGGAGTTGACTCAATCAGCCGAATGGCCTAATTCTGCTCCTGTATCTTATTGTCTTTTTTGGAGGATAGAGCTAATGGACAGTTTGAAATAATCTGGATGTAATTATGAATAAATAGGCAATTCAAGTACATCTAGAATTTAACAGCAAGCGTAAACTTAAACAAGAGAACAGTTGGACTCATGTATCTGTTAAGTACTTTGTTCATTCTTTGCAGAATACATCCAATTAGGATGTCAATCCCCAGTGGGAAAAGCTTAAGGGTCGTAAGATCGGCTTTTGAGACACAATGGTCCCTACCTGTCTGATCACGTCTTTGTATCAGGATCTACCTGTAACCCCTTTCTACTGTTCAATCTTACTCCCTTCTGTGTTCACTTTGGGGGAAGGTGATGGCAAAATAATAATGTCACTGGACAATCTGTCCAGAACCTCAGGCAAATGCTCCAGGGACATGGATTCAAATTTCACCATGACAAATGGTGAAATTGGAACTCCATAAAATCTTGATTAAAAAACGAGTTTAATAGTGACCTGATTCCGTGCTGTATAACTCTATGTCATGGTGGCACTGTTGATTGTTGTAAAAACCCAACTGGTTTATCAGATCAGCAATGATCTCATTGAATGGCGGAACAAGTTCAGTGGGCTAAGTGGCCTCCTTCTGCTCCTATGCCTTATGGTCTTAAACTGCTGGCCCCTAATTTCCCTTCTGGCCCATGTTAGTGTCAATGGTTCTCTATCCTTCATTAATGTCTCCTTTTGAGTCTGCCCTCTCCTCGAAAACCAATCACTGATCTGCCTGTCCTTGCAAACTGATGTGCGCCACTGGGTGGTTTAACTATTGCTGAGGATGTTGTAAACATTTGATAGTTTACAAATTTTAAAATGTTCATATTGTATCTGAATGACCTGTATTAATGCCAGTTTATTTTGAAAATCCTCTTGACAAAACATATATAAGCAAAAATATGGAAACATATTTTCCTTCCATGCAGCTTAATTGGATAATGAGTTAATGTTTTTGACAGTTAAAATATATGGCTGTCATGGGTTTGGACGTTCCCTGTGGAACATGTTCACAGGAGCTTAACATTTGACTGCCTCATAGAACTATTGGACAGCTCAAATCTGTGTCCAGATCTATAGTAAACAAAATACAGTCCTAAATAATAACTAAGTGCTGACTCAGCACTTCCTGAAATCACATGATTGTTACAGACGAAAAAGATCACGATTCAGATTAATTCATCCAAATAGAAAGATTCTAAAGTTCCCCTTTTGCAATATTCAATTTTTTAATAAGTTTGATTCAAGAGAATTTGCTCCATATACCAGATGGAATAAACAGAGGTTAGACATCCAATGTGTTCATCATAGACTATGAATTTGCGTTCCTTTATCCTACACTCTCAGTTCAGTTTAAAATCTTCTAGCTTTGCCGTTCTCACATTCACTATTTTAAATACATGTATAACTTCTCAGATCATCTTTCATGAATGAAATAAACTTTTTCTCCCAAAATCAGGTCTGTGGCACAAACAATCAATCTTCCTGTTCTCTTGAATACCTGTCCAGAAGTGGCTATTGTATGGTACTCAAGTGCAAACTGAGAACATATTGTTTCATTTTGCTCCTTCTTGTTGCGTCCAGTTCTAAATGTTGTCATTGCTATCTGGCATGAAAATGGAACGATCACCATATACTAAGAAGTGAAATGACACTTTAGGTCTAAGCAGTGTTTCATCAATAAAACATAAAAACAGAGGGGACACAAGTAGACTTGTGCACTCAAATGTCTGTCTATTAATTTACAATCCATGTGAAATAATCTTCTCTTCCAGGCAAGCAGTTTATTCCACTGCTTTACATCCACCAGATCATGCTCAAGGCTGTTTGAGGTAACTAAGTCACATTTTCTAAGCAATGGTTGTTGGCTTAATGCACTATTCTTCCCAAGAGACTGAACTAGAAGCAATGCAGGGCATCACTATTCCACCACCACTGGATACAAATCGGAAATCAGAAGTCTTTTTGCTGTGTGTCATTACTGATTATAACTATCATTTGAGGTTTCTGCTATTTGTCTCAACTGTATCTGCAATATTGTTGAAATTTCTATCCTGATCCTGTAGGCAAGCTAAATTATTTTCAACAAATCTTTTTTCCCTCATACCACTTCTGTTCTGAAGGAACATCATTTTGCAGGGGATGTTTACTCTTTGGTGCCTTGCCAAATTGGCCTTTATATTCATCTAAATCTTGGTAATGAATGCCAGCAGACTATTTCACAATAAGGGGATGGCAACTGAGGCTGATCTTATCCCCATCCAGTATCTGTATACATGTGCCTATAGTAGGGTGCCTGGATAGGAATAAAGAGGAGGAATTCTACCATACTTTTCATCTCTTTTACCTAAGGGTGGTGATATAATTGTGACACTCAATAAAACCAAGATGCAAATCAATGTTGACCTAAGAATTGCCTTCATCCATAATTATCTTCTGACAATTTGGAAAACTATAAGAAATAGGAACAACAGTAGGCTCCTCAGGTCTGTGAGCCTGCTCCGCCATTCAATAGGATCATGGCTGATCCAATATTCCTCACGTCCACTTTCCTCCTCTTTCTCCGTAACCCTTGACTCCCTTGCTGCTCAACAATCTATCTATCACAGCCTTAAATAGACACAAGGATTCTGCTCCACAGCTCTCTGTGGCAAGGAGTTAGAAAAATTCTCAACTCTCTGAGAGAAGAAACTCCTCCTTACCACAATCTTCTGTAAGGGACCCCTTTGTTCTGAACTATGCCCTCTGGTCTTCGATTATCCCATGAGGGGAAATGTCCTCAGCATTTACCCTGTCAAGCCCCTTAAGAATCCTATATGTCTCAATTAGATCACCTATCATTCTTCTAAACTCAAGTGAGTAGAAACTCAACCTGTTTAGTCTTTGCTTATAAGACAATCCCTCAAACCAGGGATCAGCCTATTGAGCCTTCTTTGTACTGCCTCCAATGAAATGAATGTTTCCTTAAATAAGAGGACCAAAACTATTCACAGTACAACAGATATGATCTCTCAATCACCTTGCACAGTTGCAATAAGACTTCCCTACTTTGATACTCCAAACTCCTTGCAATAAAAATCTATATTCCGTTAGCCTTTGATTACCTGCTGGACCTGTGTGCTAGCTTTCTGTGTTTCATGTAGAAATACTCCCAAGTCCCTTTGTGTTGCAGTTTGCTGCAGTTTTCCTCTGTTTTAATAATATTGTTCATTTGTTCTCCCTTACAAAGTGAACAACTTCACATTTTCCCATCATACTCCATTTGCCAAGTCTTTGCCCACTTATTTAACCTATCAATATCTCTCTAGATTTCATTTTGTAATTGAATTTCGGTGATAGTGATCACAACTCCTCGAC